ATCCGTCGCCGCGGCCTCAGTGAGAAATTGCTGAAACGATACTTTGGACCCTACAAAGTGCTTCGTCGCCTCGGTGATCTTAAGTCTTAACTACGAAGTCCTCCCCGACGGAACGCGCCCATCTGCAAGACGTCAGCCGCGACCCGAGGTGGTGCACGTCGTCCGGCTGAAGCCGTATTACGAACGTAACTTTCCACTCTCGTCGACGGGTGAACTGTGAACTGCGGCTCGCGATTCTGCTGCCTTTTTGTTTTGGATTTGTTTTTGTTTGTTGTTTTTCGTTTTGTGCTGCATCGGGACGATGCACTTTTTAAAGGGGGGGATAATGCCGCGCGCAGGGGTCACGGACTTGTAGAAAGTTCTCGTTCACTCTTGCTGCGGACATAACTATCGTTCATCCCTGTTTTTGTTGTTCTAGAAAGTGCTTGTTCATTCTCGCCCCGAGCGCGCTACGCTCAAACCTTCTCCGCCGAATCTTCGAGATACTGACTCACTCTAGATAAAAGGCCGCCCGCGACCTTGTCGAGTCAGTCTCGCCCCAGCGCTCGATTCTGCTGACACGCCGACTTCGACGCCCGCGACGCTCTGCTTTCTTCTGTTTCCTTCTTTATTTTTGGCACAAGTTCGCCACATTAAACGTTTATTTATTTCTGTTTATTTCTTGTTTATTGGTCACGACTCACCACCCGTGACAATATTGACACGTCAATCAACATTTGGTTCCTTCTTGGTAAGATTTATTGCGAAAGCCCGTTACAACCGCCGAACCGCATATTTTCGCATGCATCCGTTTGCTGGGCCACGCTACTTGAGCTAGCTGAGCACAGCTGGCAGCGGCGCGACCAAGGCCACGAGGGGAACGTGATGGTGCTCGAGCATCCCACTGTGAACCAATGTTTCGGCCACCCCACGGGTGCGTGTCGCCACCTATTGGTTGAACTAACGCCTTGTTCAAGATGGCTGCCGTGGGACCGCAGCCTTAATGGGGCGAACTTGTGCCCAAAACAAAAACGGAACAAAAGAAAACAGCAGAGCGTCACGGGCGTCGATGTCGGCGAAACCGCAGGGAGCGCTGGGGCGAGACTTATCGACTTTGGCTCGCCACGCGAAGCCCCTTATGTACACGCGTGGGCTTCTGGAATGGTCGGCGTAGAAGGTTCGACGCGTAGAACATTCTAACCTTAGAATTAGCCCAACACAATTCTCGAATTTACCAGAACATCACATTAGAGACAACAAAAATGCGTACTCGCGGCCAGGAATCGAACGCTGGCTTCCTGCGTGGAAGGAGAGCGCGATAACCGTAGGCCAGGAGCGCTCTGCCTGCTCGGTGAGCTGCGCTCGCGGCAGTATAAACATACACACAACCCAATTTTTTTTGCCCGTTAGTTTCAGGATGGCATGGTGCACTAGTGTGTGTGTGCCTTTTCTTTTTTTTTTTTTGTCGTCGAAATTTGTTTATTTTGCTCGAAACAGGATTCGGCGCGTTATCAGAGAAAAGTATACTTTCGGTAGACCAAAAGTAGTGAAAAGAGAGCGTAGAACGTCAATGACGTGTTTGGACGTCGTGGCATGCATAGCCTAAACTTCCAACCACTTAGAGTACGCATCGACCATGACTCCGCAGATGCGCACAAGTTTCGCCACCCACCGACTGAACAGTGGATTGTTTTCAGTTATTGTTCATGATGGCGCTCGACTAGAGGAAGACTTCGAGTCTTTCCGCAAAGTTAGCCCAGCTGTCAACACTTGTCGAAAGCGGAAAGTGTTCGAAACGTCCACAATGTCGGTAGCGACGTGCTGTGCTTGACACTGGACGCTTACCATTCGCCGAGACGAAACTTGCTTGTTCGTCCGCCACGAGTCGTCCGATATCAGGTCATCACCGCAACTCCATCTCCCAACAAAACAGGTCGTCATTGTCCGTATGTCCATAGTTAGCAATCATGCGAACTTATAAATTCCCGAAGGCTTATCGCTTGCCGTCGCTAAACGCCGCTCGTTCATAGCGTCTTCATTGCAAATAAATGTCTTCCTATTTATTCCGATGCTTTTCATCATATTCCTCCTAAGCTGTACTTGCACCGTTATGTCTGTCGGTACTACCGAATATATTGTAACGGCGTTTGTTTTGTGGGAACTATAATGTAAACCCCTTTACAACATCCTCCGGATTCTGTGAAACACAATATTTCATGACGTCACTTTTCAGTCGTCATTATAATGGTGAGGTAAGTACCGTAAATCGCGAAGCATTTTACTAGACGTCCGCTTCCACTGGTGTCTTGGAAGATTGAGTCTACTGAGCGTGCATTCCTGCAGAATTTTTCATTAACAGGCTATTGACACGTCAATTAACAATCGATTCCTTCTTGGTAAGATTTATTGCGATAGCACGTGGCAACCGCCGAACCGCATGTCCCTATAGACCTTTCCAATGTTTACAAAAACACAGTCCATCGCGCCATCTTCACAGCCCGGCACGTGCATGTTCGTCGCTTCGGAAAGCGAGCAGTGCACGTGCCATACGCACAAACCCTCAAGATGGCACCGGCCACGCGCTCTTTCTTGGAAAGGTTTGCTGGGCCACGCTACTGAGCCAGCTGAGCACAGCTGGCAGCGGCGCGAGCAAGGCCACGATGGGAACGCGATTGTGCTCGAGCCATTTCGCCGTGTACCAATATTTCGGCCACACCACTAGAGTGCCTTCATACACACGCGCGCTTTTGCTTGAGTGGTGACATCTCGGCCATTTTTCCGCCCACTCGTTTTTTTATGCATTTTGAAGTGCGCGCTATCTGGTGTCATTTTGCTCGAGCGCGTAGCGTTGGCTAATGCACAGACGCCATTTTACCGCCCAAGTCACGCACCGAGTGCGCGAGAGCGTCACGCGCTGGCACATTCAGGGCGACAATGGATGGCTTCACCCTGAGACAGACAGACATGTAGGCACATTACACACCACGGGTGCATGTTGCCTGCGGCGTAGACTCTCCATTTTCTCGGGGGGGGGGGGGGGGGGGGGGGGGGGGGGGGAGGGGTGCTTTTCCACGCAAGCGGAAAAGCACCCCCTCCTTCCCCCGGAAGTACGGCTGGGATTCCATTTCCCATGTATTTTGTCAACAAAGGCAACGTGGGAATTATTTTGTTTGCATGCCACTGCAAGAAACTCGTTACATGGCACGCAAACAGCGTCTCGGTAAGGATCATGGCCCGGGCCCAAGGGGGGGGGGGGGGGTGCTCTTCCCCCCCCCCCTGAATCTTACCAGGGGGGGTACGAGCCCCGATGCCCTCCGTAGTCTACGCCTATGCATGTCGCCATATATTGGTTGAACTAACGCCTTGGCAAGATTGCCGCCGTGGGACCGCAGCCTTAATTCGTTATGTTTTTTTTATGTGCTTCACCTTCTTTAGCATCTATTAAAAGAAGCAAAAAGGCGGGAGAAAATATGTGCAAGAGTTTCTCGCAAGCACTGCGATTGCATTTTTGGCAGTCTTCGGTTTGTTACTTGTAAATATTCTTGAAGGTTTGAACCCTTCCATTAACAGAACTATTTTGGCCCAAAAGTTGCTCAATATCAGCTTAAATACTACTTTCATGTGGTCTATTCAGTTTTATGCAAGGAATTAGTGCAATGTTCAAGCTCTATTAAATCGTACTGTATTCATTTAGCAGTTTCAAATTCTAGTTAATTTCATATGACAAGAGTTGTATACTGTTCAATTTCCATTCAAAGTATGACCTTCATTTAGCAACTTCCAAATCCTAGTGAATTTCGTGCAGTAAGTGTACAGGTGTTCTTTTTAGAACAATTTTCATTATTTCAAGTATCCAGAGCAATTTTATTCTCATCGTTTTCTTTTACACTGTTATGTTTATTAATTTTCTAATTTATTGCAAATATTTGAGTCGTCTCGTCCATTTGCTAACCACTTTTGGATTTAAATAAAATGTTGAGAAGACAGGTTTTGTCAAATGTATAAAGCGTGTTTTACACATCTGTGCAATGGGGGCATTGACTGGATATACCTGAACATATTTTTTTAACATTTTGTCCTTGAAGTAATTACACATTCGCTATCCCAAACTGTCGAAATATAAGGAACCCCAACTTCCTCGAAACATTGAAGACAAACGAAATATTTGCAGTTTTGTCTGCCTTCTACCTTTGGCATCCCATGCTTTTTAGGCTTGCTAAACCCATTCTCTGGTTATGCCTCTTGCACTGCTCATGCTGTTTCGGGGGCCACGATTTTCAGTGTCCAGTGGTCATAATGAGTAGTGGAAGGCACGGTGCCTGGAATCCGTCTTTGACTGGTGTGTCTGGCATTCTATACTGCATAGAAAGTGGCCCCGAAGTGGTTACAAAGTATGTCGCAGGAGCTGGCATGTCATGCTGTCGTAAACCTGGTGATTGGTCCCAAGCCTTTCAGCAAAGAAGATGAAACACAGGTCTCGCTTTCGTCACAGCGTCCCAACTCCCCGCCGCTAATTCTTCCGAGGGCTGTCAAGATGATAACGACCACAACCAGAAAAGGTGTCTGCTTTCTCCAGCTCCAGCACTGTGCTACCTCCGGAACCGCGGCAGGCTACAGCATGACACAACTGACGAGAAGAGACCTGCACACCAGTCTGAGACATGTTTCAATAATGGCCTATTGGTGTATTGGTACATTCTAATCGACCAATACACCAACAAGCCTCTACACGACCAATACACCAGTAGTCCACTATTGGGCCAATACACCAAGAGGACCCTAATGGACAAATAGGACCCACCTATCGGTTCCGATGGGATTCTATTGGTCTATCTATAGGTTTACTGGACCACAATTTTATAGAGATAGAATCCTCTATTAGAACTTTTGTTAGAATGGCGTCGGTGGGATGTGAAACGAAGTATAGCTTTAATCGTGACCGGACGACAGAAACGTGATGACAGCCGCAAGACTCGATCTCGCGGCGTGGAGGCCGGTGGCCTTCGGTGACAACAGGCCTCTTAAGTAACGAATAATCTTTATTATCCGAACATTCGAGAGACACACGGACGCACATTAATGAACACCGCAAGTGCGCGGCACACGCAACTCGTCTTTTATGTATGTACAGAGCAGGGATTCATTCGATGAAAGATCATTTCGCGAAACAATCGTCTGTATTCACAAAAGGACGGCATTGGCCGCGAACGCGCAGCAAAGGGCCACGTGCTCGCCTTCCCGAACGGGGAATGCCAGGCGGGGATTCGGTCGGGAGGGGAGGAACACAGTGGCACGACAAGCTTGTCATTTCAACGGGGTGGGTGTCTCTTTCGCTTCGCTGGCGTGAGCAGTAGTGATTCGTCAACCACAGACGCGGGCGGCGCCCAAGTTCAGATGGGATAAAATTCGTTTGCCCGCACGAACTTGAGAGAGGAGTGGAGGAAAGAAACAAGAGGCATTCGCGTCGGAAAACAGCCGAGGCTCGAATACTTGGCGTTGAGCAAACGTGGATCATTCTGTACCGTCATTCTCATGTAGTATACATTACTGGACGTTACTGTAAAGATCTAGGCAGGAAAAGGTCCGTGGGATAGCTGCCTCAAACGGAGCTAACGACGGGAGCATGACACTTCTACAATGCCTCAGTAAGTTTTTATTTTTTAAAGAAGTGTTATGGGCAGGTTTAGAATCGCTGCAGAATAATTACACGTGGTACGATATGGAGAGGGAAAAGGAGCAGGACTTGGCGGCGGATTCGCAATATATCACTAACTGCGTGACCGCAAATGTGAAGAGAAATGAGTCGCGGTAAATTTTGCCGCATCCTCTTTACGGTCCCGAGTCACCGTGATATAAAAAAACTTCAAGAAAAAAAAAAAAAACGCGGGTTATGTCGGTATACTTAAAGCGAAAAATTCCGGTTACAGTTGTGAATGGAGATGAGCGAAGCATGCTGTAAGCCGCGGTTGCTTCCCCTCAAACGGTAACGTCCGTGATCAGCTCGTGACCACGAAACTCGTTCCCGAAAGTTCGACCTCCTTGTCGTCTCGCCAAAAAGAAAAAAAGAAAATATTTACACGTGTCATATTTTAGAAAGAGCCTTCGGGAGATTCAACGAACATACTCGCCATACTCACATGGCGAGTATGGCGAGCTCATAAAATGTGGAGTTGACGTGATGCATTAACCTGTATTATACTAACGCATTAAGTTCTAACAATTTTTCTTTTTCTAAATTTGTTATTAACTAGAAACTGCCGTGAAAACACGCATTACCGTTTACGAAATACCGACAAATAAAATTCAGCAGTAAAGCAACAGCCGACCACCTGGCGGTAATGTACGTGATCCCCTCTTTCGTCTTCGCGGTAATGCGTAGATCGACTTGCCGCTTGGTTCCCGCGTAAATACGTAACACAACAATCGGAATCACGTCCTTTCAGAAATATCCTCAAACCCCGCGTAGAATTCCCGAATCCTGTCTGGACATTTTAGAAGCAGACTTAACAAGAAACAATCGACACACTATCCTTCGTGAAACCGTGGAGGTTTTTTTTTTTTTTTTCTTTCCTTCCGAGACGCACATACATACAGACCCGCAAACATGAAGCCGCGTTGTCAAAGAGAAAAATAGCACCTAGAGCAAAGTCACCGCCAAGGAAGACGCAACGCGCTTGAGGGGGACACACCGCGACGATGTTGCTCGGTGAATGATGGGGCTTGAGTCGCAATGAATGAGTCATACACGATCACGTAAATGCAAGAAAAACAGAAGCAGCTTGCTGGAAATGTCCTGACTAGCACCCATTAATCCTCACTGTTCACCTGGAAAGACAAGACGAGGAGGGAACAAATTTAGAGGAGATCAGACATCGCCTCGCGTACCAAGCATGCATCACTGCACAGTCGGCCCAAATGAGAGATAGGAACACGTTATAACAGCAACACACAAGTGGCTGCGAGTTTTGGTCACGAAATGAGGAAGTAACTGCTGCTCGATGGTTCATTAAGTCTAGGCTTTAAAGTAACCCCAACTAAAGGATTCATCGAAAATTGGGAAGAAGAAAAAACCGGTTCGTTCTAGTTTTGTACTGTTCACAATACTGTAAACGGTGACTGTCTTGTTACTTAAAATCGAATCTACACAGCGAAGTGGAGAGCACATAAGGAGGTATTCCGTCGTGATGATGACGTCATAATAATGATAACAAGAACAAAACACAAACGCCCGTATAGCATTTAGAAAGGAAGTTAACAAAGAATGTTCAGAGAGCAGTGTGAAGCGTGAGGTGTCGGGGCGATGGCACGAAGAGAATCGGGCCCACCGTCGGCCAGCGTCCAGCGCAGTTCCTCGTATGGCAACCGCCCACCGGCACGCTCGTGCGGGAGAGCCTAGCCGTCGGCCAGGGGAGGCGTCACCCAGCCGTACTTGTCGTGAGTCTTGACCAGGCTCCGGAAAGAGGACTCGGCCAACTTCCGGTTGAACTGCTTCCCTGGCTTTGTGGCGATGCGAGCCTGGCCCTTAGAAAGCGACGCAGCCACCTGCGGGCAGACGACCGACAACTGTGCTGTTGCTCTCCCTGTAGATCTCCCGGCATACCTCTGGCGTTGACAAAACCACTATCGTAACTATCGATTCGTACAATAAGACGATCTGATTTCCCCCCACTCAAGTTCTATCAGGTAGTCAGGCGTTTTTGTTTCCTACAAAAAAAAAAGAAAAATGCCGGGCTACACTTACACATTAGTCAAGTCGGTTTTTGAGTGTATCTAGAAACCCCCTTGTACATCAGAGTTTGTAGAGACCAGACCCGACCCGACCCGACCCGACCCGACCCGACCCGACCCGACCCGGACCGGACCCGGACCCCCCCCCAATACAACGGGAAACTTTAAGCACTGCTTGGGCACGAACTGCGGTACGGCCACCGACGGTCAGACCCGTAACATCCGGGTTCTCTCTCGTTACCCCGTTATCGTGCTTACCGTCAGTGCCAAAATGATCTCGCATGCCTCACAGTGGTGATCCGATGCTCCTCAAAGCTCACAAGCTTTACTAAGCCGCCCAGTGGTCACCAGATGATCCGCAAATCCAGCACACATTACTGAGCTTCCCCAAGCAATCAGCTGATGATAAGGCTATCAGATATGCTTTGGACAAGTGTGGACCTCCGCTTTCATGGTCGAGTCATATCGTTCTACCGTTACAGCGGGCCGAGGATACGTACCTGGACCAGGATGGCCTCGACAGTGTAGGCGGACGCCCAGCCTCGCGGCGTCAGCAGCTCCATGCAGATGGCGCCGCCTTCCATGACGAAGCCGCGCTCAATGTGCGGTGCCAGCACGCGCACGAACGGCGGCGCGAACGGGAAGTTGTCCGGGAACGAGACGCTAAGCTGGACGCAGGACACGCCGCAGTCCTGCATGTCTCGCCACAGCGGGCTTTCCGGATCCACCTGGGCAAACGAGGGCACCACGTCAGCCACCACACGCGGCGCGATCAAAAGCGTCACTGTGGTCGGCCTTCCAACGACTGGCCAAACGACGGACACAAGGGCATTGGCAGACTGTCAACTTCGGAGGTGTTGATTTAAGAATACGATGACTCCTAGCTTCCATCAAAAATTCGACACGCACCATCGGACTTGTCGTCACAACTGATGATAAGTGTAGCCATGGATTACGACTTGTGACGTCACGGCGAGGCAAATCCTGGTCATGACGTCACGGATGGAAACCTTAAAGGCTCTGTTGTACTCCGACGTTGAGCGCAGCGGACGCGGCGTGGCGCAGAACGCGTGCCTTTCATTGGCTGACGAGCAGGGACTCGATATCTGCGACCAATCAGCATCTCTGTGCGCTGCGCTACGACGAGTCAACTACGCTCGAGGTCGGAGTATAGCAGAGCCTCAAGAGGGCGCCACCGATTCATCTTGGCGCTAATATGGGCCAGGGCCGTACACAGAAAATTTCTTTGGGGGGAGTTTTCTAGAACACGGTGGCCATCTTGAATGGCTGTTTTTTGTATTTACTTTTTTAAAAACAAGCATGTAATCGACCTATAATTAACAATAGCAAGCGACGAAATGTTTCACATGCACCATCACAGTGGGAGTGAATTGTTTCAAAGCTTACTTCCAGCTTACGACAAAATTTATTTATTGGCCCAAACTCCGCCCCAGTAAGCATGACTTGGGTGAGAGGAAACCGAGGGTAAGAGAACAAGAAAAATATATACAGCCATACTTGACCCAGCTCCCTAACCGCAGCCCCGCGCATCCTCCGCAGGGTCCGGTGTCACTCGGAACCCCTGCGACTACAGACACAGCTCGGAACGAATTTTCGTCATTTTCTTTCCATCCTTTTTTCACCGCGCGAAACACCCCATACGGACCATACCCCCGGCAGGCCCCCCAAAGCCCCTGAGGCGTCGCACGCTCGCGGTGTTCTGGGAAGTTGGACTAACGAACAGAGAACCGATACGAGCTTCCCTCAAACGTACGTGTTTATTGCTCGAGCGAACATTTCCTTTGTGTCACCTTATAATGGACTGCAGAGGGCGCTACGAGCCATCCCAGCCAATCCAGCTCCGAGTGTCACCTTACACTCTGTGGTGTGCTATGCGAAGCTCAAGATCACGTGATTCTCTCTCAGCCCTCGATTGGCGAAGACGATCTCTAGCATCCGCTATGGTCCACTGTGCGGTGGAACGGAGCGTGGTATGAAGATGGGGAAGCGAGGCGCCCGGGGATCCTCTGTCGAGGGGGATGGCACCCCGGCACTTGGATGAGAGGGGAAAACAGGAGGGCGCTATCGGAGTGGTTACGAAAAGATCGGTCGTGGGCCGGGTGCGTTGCGGTTTTCGGGGTGCGGCGAAGACGCGCTGGAATTCACGCGCCTCTGGTTAGCAGTAATAGTAAGGAGTGCTGTGTTGTATATACAGGCACACGTGCACCCCTAACAGTATCGCTGGAACTTCAGCGGGTCCCCCACTGGGTTTCCCGATCCAGTGACTTTAGCGAAATCGAGGCCACCCCGGGCCTCTTTCGAAATGCGGCCCATCGCTCCTCCCTTCCCCAGCCGACAGTGAAAGGGGGGGGGGGGGGGGGGGGGGGGCTCGAATATATATATATATATTTTTTTTTTTTTGGGGGGGGGGGGGGGGTTTGAACCCCGAAACTCTCCCCCTGGGTACGGCCCTGATATGGGCTATTCACTGGGCGCGTTAAGTCAACGCGCTCGAGCGCGCTCCAGCGGTCAGAGTGCACTCCAGTTAAACTAATCGACATTAGGGAGTTTTCGCAACCGCGTTTCCCCTTCCGCTAAGCCCTCCGCAAGGAAGAAGCCACTACTGCCCCTGCATGCGCGCCGATGGCCTTGACTGTAGAGTTCCGGGCAGGGGCGGACGCAGGTATTTCTTGAGGGGGGCGGGGGAGGGGGGGGGGGGGTCAGGTGTTGGTCAGCGTATCATATGTTTAAGACCCCCCCCCCCCCTTTCCCGTTTCCACTCCCTAAATTTTTACACATCCAGAATTCAAGAGGGGGGTCAGGACATCCGGACCGCCCCTCTGAATCCGCCCCTGGTTCCGGGTATCGTAGCGGGTTGCGGAGAGCGTAGAGCGTAGAGCGTAGCGGGACGGTGAAAACGATCTACGAAAACTCCTTAATAGCGAGTTTTAGTAGACAGTAGGGAATTGTAGTAGACCGTACCCGCAGCCCGCTAAGCACCCGGATAGCTCTCCGTAATCCGCCACAAGACCTTGAACTATGCAGACAAGGCTGCCGGCGCGCATGATCAGCTGCGGCGTTTTCTTCGGGATACCGTAGCGGAGGAGAAAAACGGTCTACTACAACTCCCTAGTGTATGCCCCTCCGCTAAGCCCCTCCGCTACCCGGAACTCTACAGCCAAGGTCATCGGCAGGCAGGCGCAGTGGCGGTTTCTTCGTAGTGGAGGGTTAGCGGAGGGGGAAACACGGTCTACTAAAACTCCCTATTGTCTCATTTCCGGTGCACGGTGGCGGAGCGCGCTCCGTCGTCGTCGAGGGGGTTTTCGAAGATCGTTTTCGCCGTCCCGCAACGCCTTCCGCAACCCGCTACCATACCCGGAACTCTACAGCCAAGGCCATGGGCGCGCAAGCGCAGTAGAGGCTTCTGCGTTGTGGAGGGCTTAGCGGAGAGGAAAGCGCGGTCTACGAAAACTCCCTAGTGCGCGAGATCGAGCTCGAACAGGTCGGCTTCCGCTAAGATGACGGCGCTTCCGCACTCGCCGCCAGTCTCGCAGTGGTCTCACGCGTCTCGCGTTCTATTCTCGCGTCTGCTTGGATACGTGGATACCTCGACGGCGATCACTTGGCAGCTCGTCCGGTCTTTCGTCAACGTGGGAAATAAAAATAAAAATACAGGTGTAGACAGGCATGCATACATATCCTTCAAATACTTGTCGAAGTTAATTCTTCACGTGCCTAACCCCAATTTCAGGAACAGGCGAGCCGATGAATTCGGCCATTCAGCTGTCATTCTTTGAGGGTTTTGGGAATTCAGAAGACATTCGGCGTACCTTTAATCGCCACACCAACAGCGTCCAGCACAAATGCAAACTCTTGCTGATGCCGCCGTCTCCGCGCACCTCTTTATCGAAGTCGTCATCGAGCAAACACTTAACGATTTTCGATTTGACGGAAGCCATGTTTAAGCGCGCGCCTTCATGCTTTGAAAGTAGCGCAAAGTGCGTCGATGCACGAGGCACGTGCAACGTGCAGCCCCTGGGAAGATCATGGCGGCACAGCGCAGCACTGGTACAGTGTACTAGAATACTTGGGTAGTGTTGAGTCCGGACAACACCACCTAGACAGAAGGCCTCCGCATGGTTTCCTCTTCTTCTATGAAACGTCATCACAGTCGGATCGCGCTCGGTCGGCTATTGGACCCGAGCCCGACCTTCGACGCGCTGATTGGCCACGAGCCGCAGCCGAACACTGACGCAGCACTCGTGCCCAATCTCTCGCCTCGATCGATCTGACTATGATGACGCCTGTGGAGGCCTTCTGTCTAGGTGGTGTTGGACCGGAGCGGCTCGGCAACGGGAGCTCGTGAGGGCGCGTGTATTGACAGTTCGTGGCGGCGCTGTAGTCGAGTTATCCGAAAAAAATCGCGCAGCCCGCCTTTTGTTTTCTTTTCTTTTTTTTTTTCACTTTGAGCGGTGCACGTGTCGGTACCACGATTTTATACACTCCGTTTCACCTTATGTTGTACCGCAGCGAAGGCTAGAAGCGCGAGCTCATAGCGTTGGCAGCTGCCCTTAATGCACGAGAGCTTGTGCCGCCGAGTTGTGCCCTAGAGCAAGGAGCTCGCGCTTGTAGCCTTTCCTGCGGTACGACACAAGGTGAAACAGAGTAGAGTTCCGTGTGTTTTTCACTTCGAGCGGTGCGCGTGTCGGGACCACGATTTCATAGTTCCGTGTGTTCGATCGTAATGATTTGAATCTTGTGTTCTGATTTTGCGGATGGTGGACGCGTAAAAGTAGCGCCGAAATGCCGTCGGCGAAACAGCGACAGAACTCTTGCTCTGCACGTGGTTGCAAAACGGGCCTCATCCGAGTGAAAGGAGTGAAAACGGCGTCTCTTTTCGGCGTTCCAAAGGACAGAGCCAAAAGAGATCTTTGGGCGAAGAATCTGCAGCGATCGGACAAGCATCTTGAAGAAACAAGCGTTGTCCGCTTCATCCTTCGAGACTGCGTCCACATCATCGGCGGAAAGGAAGTGAGGATCCCTCGTGGACAGCCAGCACTTACGCCAGACGCGGTGCCGACTCTGCTGCCAAGTGTACCCCAAGACCTGAGAGGTGACCCTCCCGCAGGACGAGAGGAAAGGAAGCGGAAGGCAACTCCACCAGAGCCCATCGTTGCAAATCATTCGGGACTCGCTCGGAAAACTGACCCGTTGTCACCAGTGATGAACAGTGAAGCTCCTGCCGTGGCCCCACAAGGCACCGATCGCGACACACTAGTCACCCTGAATATGTCAGCTCCCTACTGGGCTGTTCACAAGTTCAGCAGCTTCGACGGTGTTGCTTATTTGGAGACTTTTCTTGAGCCGAAGTCTAACAAGATCAGCATCGAGAGGGCGGTGTTCATTTGTTTCGACAACTTATCTGATGTGGTATGCCAAGTATACCTTCAGGGCCATGTATGCTCTGCACATTTTAACCATGTATGCGCTGCACATTGCAACCATGTATTTGAATGCCGTGCTGTAAACTATTACAACTTTTACCTTGCCTTTGTTACGTGCGATGTTATTTCCTGGTCTAAATGATGCGAAATAGTTGCTTGTTTTCTTCTTTGAATCTTCCAAAGCATTACTTTTTCAACCCATGTCGTCTCGGTTTTTGCACTTAAGTTCAATGTTAAAACGTGTGATAATAATTGTCACGGCTTATAAGCCGTTTCTTACAAGTGAACGTCGGGTGGTCCTCGGATGGTCGTGGCAGCCATGAAGAAATAAAAGATTCTCACCCCTTTGCGACCGTCGCTTGGGCGGTTCGTCGCATAAATGAACACAATAATGAGTGACAAGTGAAGCGAGCTGATTAAGGTCAAGAAAAAGATGAGGGGCAGAAACGAAGACAGAAGTTAACCTGGGGTATTAAAACATACTAAAACAATCTCGGACTTCAGTATGTGCCGTTTCGTTCCATTATAAACTAAAATAGAAAAAAAAAAAAAAAAAAACTGCTTCCAAATTTTAGATATCCCTTTCAAATATCTAATGTTCGGCCTGTGCGACCTAGGAAATTGGCATTTCATTTAAAATGCTTACCATCCGACAAACCGAAAGTCGCAGCTAATTCCACGCTGAAACAACTTGCCATCCGCTTCTTTAAAGTCGCAATTGTTTTTATGAAAAGGAAAGGTAATGTAGCTTGTACCGTTCAATACATTGAAGCATCATGTATCTAACGATCGTGCCGCAGCGTAATTGAAGCCGCGGTACGACCGCTGGCAGGTCGTAGCTCTATCAGAAATCCTTGGTGCACTTCACCAAAGCGGCACCAAAGATTCATATTTTCACGCGTGCAGCCGCGCATGCGCACACCTCTGGATAACGCGCCGGTGTCGACACCTGTCGCGATCAATACCACGCGCCTCAGGCGAGCCCCTCCGGTCCCAACGCTACCCAAGTATAGGAAGTATTCACTGGCGGCCATAGCTGTGTGCGCGAATGCTGAGCGAGTGCTGATGGCGAGCTTCCACAGTTCTGCTGCAACGTGCATTCCGCACCATCAAGAGTGCCGGTCTTAGCAGCCTAGTGATGTGAGCTCGTCCTGAGCATGCGCCCTAAACAGCACCCACAAATATGGCGTCCAGTGACTACTCCCTATTCTAGTACACTGTAGCACTGGGCTAGATTTCAGACGCCATGTTCTTCCCAGAAGTGGCACGCGGCACTTGTCTCGAGCATTTCCGCAACAGTGAACCGCCCCTTTTCCCAGGATAGAAGGGCTTTAGAGCTCACTAACTTAACGCACCTACTGGCGCCCAAAGCTCAGTCCGTGTTGCTGAGCGCGTGCTGACAGCGAGCTTCCACACCATTAAGACTGCGAGGCTTAGCAGCCTTAAAAGGGCCCCTAAAAAGAAAAAAGAAAAAGTTTTTTTTTAACAGTTTAATTAAGACACGCGTGTCAAAAAAAAAAAAAAAAAATTCTACGCGATAATTTTTTTTTTTTTCTAGTGCAATATTGACGGCGCGAGACGCGATTTAGTCGGCAGTCACCTCCTTTCAACTTTCAAATAAATTTCAAATAAATTTCTCGCCGTCAACATGTTTTTTTTTTTGCGTAAAATTTATGTTTGGACACGTGTGTCCCAACCAAGCTGTTAAAAAAAAAAGAACTTTTTTTCTTTGTAGGGGTTTTTTAAGTATGAACCTGTTCTGAGCATGCACTGTGAATTGCGCACTCAAATGTGGCGTCCAGTGAATAGCCCCTATACAAACAGCGTTCGTGTCGTTCGTGGGGAATGCCGAGTGCTGGACCCAAGCCTCGGGTCCGGGCCACCTGCCTGGTAGAGGCGCACGTGCCACTCGTACAGGTTGTCGTCGACCAGGTCCACGGTGAAAGAGGGCGCCTGGCCGCGGCCCTGCTGGCGCCGGATCTCGTGGAACTCGCGCATGAGCCGGCGGGCACGCACGGCCGCCTGCTGGGAGCACGGCGCCACCCGGTGCCGGGGACTGCGTGCCAGCGTCAGGGCCCGCGACGACGCACCGGCGCTCGAGGAACCCGTCGCCTTGGACGCCTTGGGTCCCGGCGTCGCCTTGGCCGTCGGCGCCTCGGCGGAGCCCGCCGTCTCGGCCGCCGCACTGCCCTGGCCTCCCTGGCCCTGAGCCGCGTGGCCTGCGGGCACGCGTCGGCGCATTCAACCGAGAGGGAAGGCTTCGTCCTATCACACATATATACACCTCAGCGGGAGCGTCCCAGACGCATGCCGACCCGATAGCCCATGAGAGTCGGAACCGAATAGCGCAGCGTCATCCCTAGCTCCAACACTGCAAAGAGTCGTCGGTCGTCCTGAAAGCTATGAATGACGCAGTTCGATTGGAACCACTATGCAGACACCCCTACTTGTGGGCATGTTCACAGCAAAGTGGCTATTGGGGACAAAATGGGGAGTTCGGACAGAGTTAAGAACCGCCTTGTATTGTCGGCGTTCTTCACTGTGTCTTGTTTCTTGGCGCTTAAATTGTAGCTGTCTGGGTTCATTTGTTAATTTATCTATTTAAAAGCGCCGCACTTCAAATGGCCTACATATATATGTATATATATATATATATATTTTTTTTTTTCAAATAAACTTTTCTTTGTGAGTGCCCTGAAAAAAATGATACCGCATTTAAAATGCCTGCTTTTGCCTGTTTTACGAGGCAGCGCAGCACTTCTGTCGTCTACGTTAGAACTGGTGATGGGCCGAACTTTCGCCGAATCGAAAATTCGGCGCCGTATCTTCGGATTCGGAAAATACGGATTTTTGCCGAACTTATCCAAAGATTCGGCAAATACACGTTCTTGCCAGACCTAAAAGTTATATATCGTTTTTCTTCTTTTTTTTTTTTTTTTTTAAAGAAGTTTCTAGGTTTTTTTTTTTTATAATGCATATTGACGCAGCTATGACTAAATGAGATGATTTTTACGAGATAATTGCATCAGTGTCATTTTTGTGTGTTTACCGGAAATTTTAAAGCGACTTTTTGCAGAAGCGGTGTGACAAAGGGGTTGGGTAGTAGCGGGCGCAGTCAGCTCAGTCACGATACGCGAGTTTCGGTTTTGAGGCCTCATCAGCGCAAGCCTGCAAGTGTGTATTGTTGAAGAAAGGCGGAAACACTTTGTTCTATATTTCCTCCGCGACTCACCGTTTCGTGCGCTCGCATGCTTCGCGTTTTTAACTTTTTTTTTTTTTTTTTTTTTTTTTTAATGCCGGTTTTTGGTGTTAGGACCCACCGGACGTTTAGGAAGATGGGAACAGTTAAGAATGTCGAGCATGATAGTTTTGTGTTTAGTTTTATGCGGATAGATGAAAACCGCGATATAACGCTAGTTAAAAGCAATATTGTTTTGTTTTGGCACAAACTACTTGTGAGCCGAAAACAGGATTGCTATAGAACGGCGAGGAGTGCTTTAAAGTACTTGTCGGTCAATGTTTCAACTACCTTGTTGCATCACTGCAAAGGTCAAGGGAATATCCCGTTATCCCGAGTGTACCGCATCATTTGTCACTTGCGCAGTGGACTGCGTCGTTTTTGCGTCAAGTTCTGGTCGATCTTCTGTTCTTCAGGCAGAAAATATTGAAGAGAACCACACTCACAAAGGCTGACAAACACACAGTTACCATGTCGCCTACTATTCCGCACCTCGCTGTAACCACTGGTAGTACTACACTGTACGATGGTAACCGCACGACGTCCATTTGCAATCCATGGCTTGTCGCGTTCTCGCGCGTGCGCAGACATTTGCCGTATCTTTGCCGAACTTTGCCGAATCTGAAGTTCGGCAAAGTCGGTCCATCACTGGTTAGAACTACTTTACAATTTCGTATAACAGCCGTCCAGACTGATTATAACGTTTAAATAATCATGTAAAAGTATTTAATATTTAAGCCTGCTTTGTATATTATTCTTTTTTGTTTGTCAAGCTTCAAATGAGCCTGGCCATCGATCATATTCATATACTAAAAAAATAGTCAAAAGAAAAACGTAATTTTGAATTTGATTCGCTTTTTTTTTATAGAATGTACGGAGGTCAACTGAGCTGATTAATGAAATAATTAATGATTAAAGGGAATATATTTAATGGGGTTATATTTTTAAACGGGTACGGAAACGAAAATTTAGCTCGCTTCTTTGTTTAGTCAGGAACTACGTTGTGTCAGCACCTTAGAAACACCAGTCTTCCGCTCGTAAACGCACGACAACAAATTGTAAAACGAACAAAACGATTTTTTCAATACCACCCGGTAATAGCGAGGCCGATGTAATTATGGCGTTGAATGCCTCCTGCACCAGCGCCACCCTACGAAAGCACAGCGCAAATATATAGGCAACTTGGGCTTGAAGGGAACAGCGAAGCTTGGCGAAGAAATCCACAGTGCTTCCGCAACGTGCATTCCAAACCACCAGGATCGCCGTTCTAGCAGACGATAAGTAGGAGCTTGACCTGAGGATGCGGGGACCTCTGCCAGGCTTCTCACTGGACGATTTTGAAGCAAGAAGAAGAGAGCCCCGGGTCACGCCATTTCGTTTCCGTACCCCTTTAATCGAAGTCCAGCCCCACTTCGCGACCGGTTTCTCCCCCCCCCCCCCCCCCCCCCCCACCCCAAGCTGATTAGACCGCTGCGCCTAAAGGTAAAATTGGCAAAAGGCGACAATTAAGGCCCCTCTGAGCCAATGAGAACGATGGAGACAATCACGTGCCAGCTCAATACATAAAGAGTACTTCCACGGTACGTTGTCACGTGTCTCGCGATCCGCTTTGCTCGCTGGTGTTGTATAGCATTCGCCAAGTTATAACTGAAACAAAGGGTAAAGGCTGAACTCTATGGAGCAAATTATGCGAAGAATAACGGACGAACGTTGCCCGACGGCACGCTCGCTTTGCGCGCGATGTAGCAGCCACTGGGCTGATGCCACGCGCAGAGCAAAAGCCGCCGGGCAAACTTCGTCGAATTTTTGCAGCACATTCGCTCCATGGAGTCCAGCCTTGCAGGTACGGGCACACAAGCGGCAAAACGCGGCGGCACGCCGCGCACGGCGTGCCGCCTTGCAGCAACACCTGCTCCGCGGAAGGAATTTTCTCCCGCGAAACGAATGGGCTCCTTGATGGGCTCCAACGCTATATTTTTTGCTGCGTGCCGCACGCCGGGAGCAAGAGGAGACCAATCAGAGGCACCGCGTTCAGTGACGTACGATGCCATGGCAACACTTTTCTCGCCGAACGAGCGTTGTTTTTGAGCCGCCAGCCGCCATGAGTCTCACTCAGGAAAGTCGCGTGATTTCTCGAGACTGTGCGTCTCTTTCCCTTGCTTTACGACAATACTCATTTTGGGTACGCCATTCCGGGCGTACCCAAAATCTTCGCATTCGACCCTTTTGCGCGCGGCGACGTCGCACGATAAGAATAACTTTCACTATCGTGAGTAGGTCGTCGTCTGGGTCAGCCATCAATGGAGAGGCCGAACGCAGCCGAGCTGAAAGCCGAAGCGAAAAGCACGGAGAATCTCACAGGCGCTGAGACTCATCCCTGAAGAAGCACATTCCCTCAATAGAAACGTCGGATGTCCTATGGAACTTCCAAGAGGCACGAAAAACGGATCTTGCGACCACCCTCAGCGTGCCCGGGGGCACGCTGAGGGTGGCGAAGCGAAGTGAGCTCACCTGCCTTCCCCGCACCCGCGCAGAGACCCAGCAGCCGGGCTCGGCTCCCGCCCTCGCCGCTCTCCTTCTTCTTTTTGGGACCGAGATCGTTGTGGCTGTTGTGGCTGTTACCGGACGTACTCAGCCGGTGCCGGTCGGTGCGGAACAGCTTTTTCAGCGCCGAAGCCGCCATCGCCTGGATGGTGTGCGTAGAGTGCTACCCGATGTGGACCTCCCGAACGCGCGGGTCTTCGAGTCGCTGGCCCACGACGCTCCGGCTACGCTGGGCTACGAGGGGGCCGGGAGGGCCGGAAGGGCCGGAAGGGCCGGAAGGGCCGGAAGGGCCGGAAGGGCCGGGACGGGGATCCGGGAGGCTGGGGAGGAAGTAGGCGGAAGTGCTCGCACGGGGAACGTCACCGAAGCATGGCCCTGTCGGAAACGTAAAGCAGAAAGATACATTTAGACGACCTGCCTGTTTCTGCCTCATCAACTAAACGGTTTTTTTTGTTTTGTTTTTATATTGCGTTTGAGTTGTGTTTTGTGCGCACTGGATTCAGGGTAATAAGCTGGGCCACTTGGTAAACAGTAGACACCATAAGAAAAACCGCCCACAAGGACCAAGACACAGAGAAGGAATACACAAGAGAGACACAACTGCTGACTCACAAGTTCTACTAATGTATTATACAACAACCAACAAAAAAAAAGAAGAGGATATTTCTTCACCCCAGCGAGCGCATTTCTGTGCCTTCGAACTTGTGCGCTATTTTTCTCATTAGGCAGACTGGATCACTCTCGGTGTGCGAGCAAATCGGCCAGCAAACATCCAGCAAATCGCCAAGAAGTCCGAGCATCTTTGAAAGCCGAACTGAGAATTGTAGCAAACTGGAGGTAAATATTATATTCGAATGCCGAGCCTTTGCAACGTAAAACATGGTGGTTGAGTGGAGGGAAACCTATCTCTGCCGCTGTTAAAGAACATGCGCGAAGGCCCCCATTGAGAAGTAATTTGCGGTTACGAGATCATTCGTCAATACGATACGATTGATATAGCATGACGAGCTTTGAACGTCTTTCAAAGGTCGTAGCCGATGCATCCATAGTTCATCCTGGAAAAAAGACAAACGACCTGTACTCGACAAGCGGAGAACAGTGCCCAACACAACGCACCTTGACGTTTTCGTGCCGATTCCTGACCATAGTTAAGAAAACCGCACATTATCCAATTCATGCGGTCGTGTCGCAACTCTTAAAAAGTCCGAGATCACCTCCTATAAACCTTAAAAAAAAAAAAAAAGTCGCCTTCTTAAGGCTACGCGCTGCCACCTTTGCCTGCTGAGCCGTGGAACGCCATCTGAGTATGCGCTGCTGCGCGTGCGTCCACAGCTCAGTGACTCGGCATTTTTCGCCCGGGTGATAAGTGATGGAAAGGTCTGTAGAACGCGGAGACAGACACGGCGACACGGCGAACAATCAATGACGAAGCTCAGAATACGTTTGAACAAAACGAAAAGAAACGTGACGAGGACAATGAACACGACGTTTCATTTCCTATAATCGTATAATCTTACACTTTGAACTCGCTGACTTTTTTTCAGAGTTCTTGCTTTGCATTTTCGACAAATTTCTCCTTGATTGTATGTTGTATACGGTAGCGGAAAGCTAGAAGGTACAAAATGCATCTGGAAGGGTCCATCCCCGCAGATGGCTCAGTGACGAGCCAATGTAACTCTCGCTTTGCGCGAATGAGACACGAGCGCAACAGAGTTGCTCAAACGTGAATTACCGCGGAGAGTCGGACGGTGCGTAGACACGTTTCACGACACGCAGGACCGAAATCGAATACATGAATCGTCGCGACTAAAGGCAAAACAACAAACGCCGCCTCGCAACGAGATATCAAATGCAAAAATACTCACGAAATCGAAATTTTTCAACCGTGCCTGGGTAACTCGAAACCCGTGTGCCGCTTAAGCCGAAAATCAATTATACGTTCCGGAAAGTCTGTTTGCATGCAAAGCACGCAAAGGGAGAATTTGATCGAAATCCGACAGCGTTACGTACCAAATCCGCGCCGTTCATTTCTCCTCGCGTTCTTTATCCTATTTTTTTATTAGGGGGGGGGGGGGGGGGGGGATCATGTTCGCACGCCTTTAGTAGAGCAGCCAACCTTTCTCAAACGATTTTTTTAGCGCATTCTAAAATTTTCGTTCTGTTTTTATTTAGAAAAATATTTTTTTTTTGCACTTAATTGCAATAAGTCGTTTCCGATTTCAGAACGCCCGACGATTTCAAAACCAAGAAGCAATTCCCAAAAGAAAAAAAAAAGAAAAGAAAAGAAAGTTCGAACAAATCATTGGTGCTCTTTCGTCACTTTATGTCGAATCCCACCGTGCAGAAGACAGTTGCAGTAAAATATTTACTAACCGTACTACCTCTCCCTCCAAATAGAAAGCTGTCCTTTGGTTTCTGCTTCGCGTTTCTGAGAAATACCGGCCATCACAGTTGCGTAAACCCGAGACGCGTGTCACGAGGGAGTTTTTGGAAGGAACAAAAATAAAGAAAGACGATATGGCCTTTCAGTAGCTCAGTACAGAGCCGTAAATGTAGAGAGTTTGGCCATTCGTTGGGAAGTATAGGAGACAAATGAGGAGGCGCCATTGGCCGAAAGCGGGCTGGGCGTGTTCCAGGGCGTCTTCAGAAATTCGAATGTGACCAAGCAGAAGCCGGAAATAATACCCTGGCGGTGGTCGCGAGAAACAAACCTGATAACTGCATTGGAGTAACTCTCAATGGCTGAAAATATGGTACACGTGATGCTTCAATCACGTTAATCCAAAATGATGGTGGAAGAGTGCGACTAGCGGAACGATCGACATAATCCTTACGCCAAGCGCCCAGGGCCGGGAATCTGCCGTACGAACGGTCACACCGTCCGCGCAAAACAGAGTTGCGCGGCGCATTCGTTTCTTACATCTTTCTGCATGATCATGATCAAAACAACACGTACACCCTATTTTCAACCACGAGGAGTTACTACACTTCGCTCTTACGCGCTTATTAAAACCATATACGAATATAGACTTTTGATCAGAACTGCTTGCCGCTACCACCGCTAGGGGATTCTTTTCGGCTTCTGGTTGGCCAAGAGAGCATGCCAAGCCCTCTTTCCGACTCTGCCGCACGCCCTGACTCTGCCCGCGCCTCCCATTGACCAAACCCTCTACATATACGGCTCTGGCTCAGTAGACCGATCTCACATGGCCAGTTTGGCTGCGCCACCGCTACCGCAATGCATCGAGATTACTTCAGTCTCGTCGCACATGCGACAACCTCAACGTGGAGTTCGACGCGTGCGGAGAACGCGACGGCACGAGTCGTCTCGTGCACTGCCGAATGTCGCCTGTGACCCAAAGTTATGGCGGCGTCACGCATGCACCGAACGCTCGGTGAGATCGCTCTGTTCACTGCTGCGTGCCGTACGTTGTTCTCCCAAGAGTTGCACGAAATCGGTGCTTCGAACATTGGCCTACCTGCCGATACATGTCAAACCAAAGAGGTCAGAGGAGTCCTCAGCGTGATGTGACGAGATTTCGCATTAGATTTCTCAGTAAAGAAAAAAAAAAACACAGCCTACACACGCTCATGCACACACGCACATGCACGTGCACACACGCGCACACACAGATACACACTTGTCGCTCGAGTATGCGAATAAAAAGGATGCAGGTAAAGAAGGTTCGAGACAGTGCGAGGCTTGAAATGAACGCCAGGGAGCGTTCCTTGATTCCTCCGACTCTCAAACATCGACTTTGCCGAGAAGCAAAACTTTCAATAAAATAAAAAAAGGGAAAAAAAGGGGGGAAGAAAAAAACCAAGCTTTTTCGATTGCTTCTCGGCAGAATTTCCTTTGGGACTCGAAACTTCTTTCTGTCGTTCACAAAATGAAGCTCTTTCCGAAAAGCCTAGAACCTGTGCTTTTTGCTAAATGTTTCGAAGACTCGAGGAAGACCCGATCTGGATTGTTTCATTTCAACCCTTTACACGTCGTTTGTTTTCGTTTCACAGCCATGGGTATAACGCGTCATGGCGGATCCATTAGAAGGTAACGATACATTCAAATCTCGAGAAGGCAGTTACGCAGAAATTACTCTTATCGACACGATAGTTCCGTCCCAATGCTTGTAAGTCTCAGCTTGACGCCTCGTTTCACTTTCACGGCGTTCACGCGAATCATAAAGCGAAGGCGACGCGTCTGCTGAATCAGGAACGTCAGGAATGCGCCACGGCACGCCCGGCCAATCCTTCCTTCGCTTGGCCCATATTGAAAACGAACCGGAGTATGACACGTTCGCGATATTACGGAACCCACCGAGAACGAAACGTCGCATCGTTCTATGTGAAGGCAATTGCTCCAGCCCGCTCGCTACCTGACCCTCCGTCTACAAAAGAAGAAAAGAAAGGGCACCTCGCAGAGGGAGAATTGTCATTCACTTGCCACTCACCACCAGCCGCCGGAGAAAGGTTCCCTGCTCGGTGATTTGATGCTGATCAAAAGAGGCACAGAAGCAGGCCTCGCTCTTAGAAAGCAGCAATGAGCTGTGGCGTTTTGACTGGCCCGGCTGTGCCGTCGCGACACTCTACACTGCCACGACTCTTTTCGTGTGTATGTGCGTATTCGTTCCTTGCGCTGATCGGTGGCGCCCGCGCTACTGGAAGCACTATAGCTTCGTGGCACGAACAGCGGGAGTTCGACCAGCACGTGGAAGCTCGTGAACTTGGTCGCGTCACCATCTCCACAATCACATCTAGAGCCACTAAATGAGCTAGGCTTAGAGTATCGGCACTCTGCTCCCAATATTGTTGTGGGCGCCGCCATCTTGGTGCTTATAACAGAGCAGCCGCATCTGTTGATCGTCATGATTCAAAAGTGCGACTTCCTCAGCATTCGGTGTTAGGAAGCTCACGTAATATTGCTTTGCTCTGTCGTGAACAGTTTAGGGATTTGTGGTGGACGGAAACGCGTTTACTGTGATTTCAGATAAAGCTTCAGGTAACTGGAAACCATGATTTTAATCCCCAAGATGGGTTAAGTGTCGTTACTCTGAAGTGTAGCTTATACCCCTGTCAGACGGGCTAGTTTAGTGTCACTACAAACGAGTGCACTTCAACCCGTCGAAACACACTCCAAGTGTGTTGGTGCCACACGGGAAAACTTAGTGTCACTCCAAAATGATGGCAATGACGATGGGTAAGTAATGGGCACGTAAAATATTGCAGGGCATACGAATTTTTTCATAAATAACTTCGTCGTCCTATTAGAAACACGTTACCACACATTGTTGCGTAAGTCACGAGCTTTAATCGAAATTTAAATCCAATTTGGTAATTTTGATCAGCCATTACAAGCCAGTGATACACGTCCGCAC